TAATGGGAGTCGCTTGCGCGGTTTGACGTTGACTCCGAAAAATAGCGTGTAGCGAATGAAACGCGATGCTGGCACAGAGCGACCGTTTTCCAGTGATCCGCCTTTCCATCTCCACGCTTGCGCTGTCCGCCGCCTTGACGTTACTTGGTAAAGAGAAATGAAGAGACAGCGNAGTGTAGTGACCGCAGCACTGCACAAGTTTCTCCTTTCTTCGCGCGCAGCATGTCTCCCGTCGCAGAGGACTCGAAGCGCACGTTCACGCTGCCAAAAGGTGTGTGCCGTCTGATTGGGCCGGCTGGTATCCCCGATCTGCGCACCGTCTCAAAACTGCACTCTTCCCTCTGGCACCTCCACACCCAACTCCACTCACACTGCACTCCCCGCCTCGAATGTTTTTGATTTGCCACACCCACCGCCACCGCCCACATCTCCAGTTTCGCTTAACCCCACAGGATGGGGCCCCGAATCCGTGCACCAGCTCGCAAACATCCCCTACCTCCCCTTCTCAAAGTCGGACAGGCTTGGCCGTATTGCAGACTTTGCCCAGCCGGAGCATCTTAGGAGGGATAGGGATGACAGGTGGGGCGGCGGCGGTGGCGCCGGGGACAGGGGAGATAGGGGCGAGAGGTGGGGTGGAGGTGGAGGTGGAGACCAGAGGTTGGATGCGTTTGATGGAGCGCCAGCTCAGGCTCAGGAGAGGCAGGAGAGGAGAGGGCCCAGACAGGGCAGGTTTGGAAACGGTGAGTCTGTCCGACTGGAGCGAGCAACGCGAGCGGAGGGAGGAGAAGATCTGCGCGAAGCGCGAATGAATACAGCGCGGATCGAGTATTGAGCCGAGCCTGTCCGCCGAGGATGGGATAAGTTGTCTGTTCCTGCGGACCCACCACCACCACTTTCTCCACACCACTTTCTCCATACCACTTTCTCACCTCACTCACCACTCACCCCTTTGTAGAACCATTCGGTGCCGGCCTTGGGTCTCAATTCGCGTACATCCACTCCACCGAGGACGATGCCTCGTTCTCCCTCGTCAC